TTGGAAAAAGGTAAAACTATATCAAAGCTTATAAAAATAGTGAAACTATATCAAACACTTAGTAAAAATTTAGCGAACGAAACTAAAGGTTTTATTGTTTTGCCAAATCTAAAATGAGTTTAGACAAGCAACCTTAATTAGATCTATTAGAAATATTAAACTAAAAAATATTAAGAAGTGATTATGAACTATCACATCAATTGCAATTAGAACTATTACAATAAAAAGAGAAAAATTACCAAATGATAAAATCTAAAAAAATAATAATTGAATTTTTATGATTAGTAATAGGTAGTTTTCTCCTTTTCTATTACAAAGTTCCATTTATTTATATTATTAAAAAATCTTATAATAGATAAAATATATTATGTATATATATTTAATAAGTTATTATCCGAAAGTAGCGGAGTTCATTACAGATTATGCTAAACTAATGCAAGGTTTGTCTGTCCAAGCCAATTAAATTTGCTGTAAATAATAAATAATAAATCACGTGTAAAAATTCCAGAAAATCAGTCACGTGTACACAAAAAATCACGTGAACCTTTTTTGTTTGAAAGACTTCATCGTGTTAGTGCTTGTAAGAGATTACAAGAGAGATTGGCAGAAAGAAAAGAAGGTTAATTTCGATGATTTGTCAAAGCATACCCAATTGATATATTTTTCATTAATAAAATGATTTGTTACCACTGAATTTTTTATTGTTACATTTTGCTGTTATATTGTTAAACTTATATCACTGATGATCTTACGCTTCGGACGCTCTAACAGTTTCCATTAACTAGTTATAGATAAATCTAAATAATAATTTTTTTTCAGATTTAGACATTTACATTTAATTCTAATCTAGAGCTTTCTTTATACTGCAAAACTTCCATATGATTATATATATAATATCAATATATATATTAGATTACAATATATTGATAACTTAAATTTAATCTAAATATTATATTTATCAATATAATCAATATATTAAATTTTGTTTTTGATTGTAAAATTTGTTTTAATTATTTTTAGATTAATAAAATTTATCTTCAAATTAATAAAATATATTTTAATATAAAATATATTTATTATGTAAAACTTGTTTTCAATTAATGTATTTCATCTTTAAATTGATAAAATTTGTTTTTAAATTAATAAATATTATTTTTGAAATTACAAATTTATCTTTTAATTAACAAATTTTTTTAAATAATAAAATTTATTTTAATTTTTAATATTTATTTTAATTAATAAAATTTATTTATAATATATCATTTTAAAATAATGAAATTCATTTTATAATTAACATATTTTACTTTAAAAAATAATAAAATTGTCTTAATATAAATTTATTAATTTATTAATAAAATTAATCATAAATGAGAAAAAATTTTAAATCATTATTATCTTCAGATTGTTTATTTTAAAATTAATTAATATTAATTTATTAGATTTGATTAGTTACAAAACTTCAAATAATAATTATTTTATAAAAAAAAAAAATAGAGAAATTTGTTGACTATAAATTAATTAGTAAATTAAAATTAAATAATTTAATTAAGATATTTAATTAATTACCAATTAATTATTAATAAATCAGATTAATTATATTAATTATTATTAAAATAATTTCAAGTTTTTAAAAATTGGGTTAAAAATAGATTTAATATATTCTATCTATTAATTATTAATTAATATTAACTAATAAATTTGATTAAAACATCTATTAATTTCTTTTATTGATTACTAATCAAAAAAAATTAACAATTATTATAGCATATAGAAAGGTTTATTAGAAAATGGAATTCTGAAAAATTTTTATTAAAATTTTAATTTTTATTGTATTTTAATTTTGATAATATTAGTTAAAATACAATAAAAATTTTCAGAGTCTAATTTTTCTAGCAAACTTTTCATGATTAACTTATATTTTATTTGTTTAATTTAAAAAATCATATAATTATATATTAAAAGAATAGAAATTATAACTTTATAATATGATAATTATAAAAAATTTTACTATATAGTATCTATAAAACAACCTAATTTGTAATATTATTTGAGTTAATAAATAATAATATTTTATATTTATTAGATATAAAAAGTATAATTTGTATTAATTATTTAGTTTATTTTAAATATATAAATTGTTAAATAATAATTAACTTAAGCAATAAGTATCATTTTGAAATATATTTTATAAATTAAAAAAATTGTTTATTTTATTAACTATTTGATCTAGAAATAAAATATTCTTAATATGAAAAAATTTATTGACTTTTTCTGCTATAAAATAATATTCTGAAAGGATTTCAAATTAAGATTTAAAAATAATATAGACAGATTATTGAAAAGAAAAATTTGATTATAGGTAAAGTAAATTATAATTATTATAAAATCATTATATTAGTTATTCAAATCAGCATATCAAAAATTATTGAAAAGTATAAATATATCTAAAATTATTTAAATTGATTTTTATAATCATAGTCAATAATGAAGTTTGTAAATTCTATAAATCATAATAGTAAAATATTAAGGTTTAACTTGAATTATATTAGTAAAAAAAGTAATTAAATTTATTTATAATTTATTATTAAATAATTATTATAAATTAATTTAAAATATTTAAGCTTATATGATTTGAATTTAATAAAATAGATAAAAATTATATTAAAAATATATATTATTATTTTTATTAGATTATTTATTACAGATATATAAGAACTTTGCAATAGAAAGGTACAAAATTCTAAAAAAAATTTTTTGAATCAATGTTAAAACAATTTATTTTACTAAAAAACATCATATTTAATTTTTAAAGTAAAATTTTAATTTTATAGAGTTTTATACCTTTTTTACTTTTTTTACTGCAAAACGTCTAATATTATATTATTGTTATAAATATAAATAATAATATATTAATAACTTAAATACCTCTTTATTAATTTCTTTAATTTTTAATATATTAACTTGTATTTGAGTTATATTAAATTTCTTTTTTTAAACTAATGTATTATATAATTTATTAACATTGACTGATTTCTTTGTTTTGAATGCAAAATATCCTATTATAGACTGTTATAACTATAATTATTCTACCATTTTATAAAGCTTTTTAATTCTAATATAATGATTAAACTAATTTGCAGTAATATTATAAATATATTTTTTAGTCAATTTTGGATTGTTATTCAAGTTTTTAGACAGATTTTATATGACTGAATTAATTTTATGCTCAAAAATGGGATGATGATGTATGTATTTTAAAGAATCAGAAGCATGTATTTACGCATATTCTATTATTAATTTAACAATAAAGGTAAAAGGAGGAATTTAGGTTTAGAAAGCACACTTAAATCGATACTAATTTGTATATCGCACAACCCAAAATTACGTATATTTCTGTAATAATATTTGCGTTGAAATAATTACCAAAACGATAACTCTAAATAGCTAATAGATAACAATTTGCATCATGTGAGAACCTTTTTCGATATTTTTTCCAACCAACATTGCTTTCTTTAAATACACTCTCGATTTATATCAGATTTAGTTCAATTTGTCATTCATATCTTCAAAGCAACCTTAAACAGCCCGTTCTTAAAGATTTCAATCAATTTTTTTTATTATTTTCGCAACATTATCTTGAAGAATAGGGTTTTGTTAATAAAATACCTAAATCATTAATGATAAATGATTGCTATACAAAATCAATAATAAAATTTACTAGTGGCTATACTTAATTTTGATGCAATATCGTCATTTAATTTAATACCTAAATAAGCGAAGTGGGTTTTTATTTTCTAGAAAATTCAAAAAACGTCATTTTGGAAAAAAATTTGTGGCGTTGGTCAATAGCTAAAAATCAATTTTCTTTTGAATGATTAAAAAGGTTTAATTTTAAATGGATGATGATGTATTAAAGTTGCCCAGATATGGACTTGAATTGCATTATTTTAATTTACGCGAGGTTGCTGACATCAAATATATATATATATATATATTTCCATGTCCACGATGTCAAAATCGTCATGATGGAATCACTTACTTTCTGGTGATACTAATTATGTCAGTTTTTGACGACAATAGGTCCGTGCGCAAAAAAAACTACTATTGAAAATTCTTATAAATTGGATAAAAAATCGCTAAATATCAGTAAATTGAATTAATTATATTTTACAAGTTAAAAAATAAAACACTTTTAAAAAAGAAGACAAAAAATTAAGTTAAAATGGTTAAAGCAAAGACAACCGGAGCAAGGAGGACTACTCATAGAGTAACATCCTTACCACGTCGGTTATTTTACAAGACGAAACGTGTTATTATGACACCTATAAGAAAAGCCAGAACTCACACTACTGGAACTACAACAGCTCCTACCACGACTACTCGAAGAAAGGTTCGTTATACATTATCGTAATGCATTTTAAAAAATGAATGATTAAACTAATATGGTAATTGCATTATAGAAACCATTATTCGGTGGGTTAACAAGAAGACACAAAGCTCCTGGAACTCAACCTGCTCATAGAACAAGAAATCCTAAATTATTTGGATTCGCCAGAAGGAGAAAGAATCCTCATCATCATACAACCGCTAACACTACTTCTCCTAAAACCAAACTTCGTGCTTTATTACACAGGAGGATTTGATTAAATTTGCAATAGCTTCTTTCATAATTTGATCCTTTTAACATATAAAATTTCTATTTCTTTTATAAGCATTTTTTTTTTTAAATGTATCCTTATGTATTTTTAACTCTTACAAAATAAAGAAGTTTCTCCATTGTTAAATTCCTATACTGCGGATGATTTATCATTATCAGTTATGTAATAACAAAAGAATGAATGATTCTAACTATTTTTGGTTTAAACGTTTTCTCGTAATTTACAATTGTAAAGTGTCATAAATGATTAACGAACGTCATTATGAAATCATCATGACATTTTTGAGAGAACTATAAATGGAGCCGAAAATTGCCTTTGATCAAATTATTGAAATTTTCTCAAAAAAAAAAAAAAAATCAATTAAAGCATTTCTTTTGGGAAAAACATGGAACGTACTATTACAAAAGATAATAAAATAATTCCATCCGAAACGCCATTACAAAAACCATCGCTTGAAGAAGTTGAAAAAAAAGAAGCTGAACGACTAAAAAATACAAATGAAGAGAATAAACCGAAAGAAGGTTTGCATTTGAATTCCCGAGCGTAAAAGTTATTTTGCGGGTTTATACTAACTTTTTTTTGATTTAGGTGGATCTGCTGGTAGAGTATTGATTGGTGCTAAAACTGTTAACGATGTTATGAATCCTTCTCCACGTAGATCCAATACTTCATAAAAGAGGACAATTTCAAATTAGTTCATGAATATTATTTTATAAACAAATATATAAAAAAAAAACAATTGCAATTCGTTTATTTTTATAAAAAAAAAAAAAATTTATTTTTGATAAAAAATGCGAAAACTGCATGTGAAATCATAAATGAGTTAGTGCTAGTATTATTGTAAATTTGTAATTCAAATCTTTTTTCGTTTTATTTTGAAACATTTTATTTTAAATAAAAAACGCTAAACGTATACTTCAATATCTGTATATCAATTAAAGTGATTTAAGAATGGCATCCGTGACTTGTTGAGTTGTTGAATTACCTCCCAAATCAGGCGTAAGAACATAACCTTCTCTCATTACATTGTCTACACTGTTATAAATTCGAAGCGCTTGTTTATGATATCCAATATGCTCTAATAATAATCCAGCACTTCGGATCGCTGCGATTGGATTTGCTTTGTTTTGACCTGCAATATCCGGTGCTGATCCATGTACTGAAGAAATCGGATCATTTATTAATAATATAATAATAACATAAAATTAAAGTACTACAAGTTTTATAATATGCACCTGGTTCTCCAACTACGAAAGTGTCGCCAACGTTCGCACTCGGAACTACTCCCAAACTTCCAACTAATGCTGCGGCGCCATCACTATTTTTGAGGGTTTGAAATTTAATTTCACGTCAGACAATAAGAAAGAAATGATAGAGGAGACGAACCTAATAATATCTCCATACAAATTTGGAGCAACGACAACGTCAAAAGCTTGAGGCTCACGAAAAAGTCGATACCTATGGAGAGAATAAAGTTGTCAAATTTATATTTTCAAAAACCGAATTTGTTTTACACGTTACTTACACCATTGAATCAACGAGTTGTTCTTCCATATCAACTTCATCATATTTATGATTATTCTCTTTAACATTTCTCACACTTTCTCTCCATAATCCATCCGTAATACTTAATACATTGGATTTATGCACAATGGTAACTTTTGGTTTTGACTTCCATATCCTTTGATTCAGTGGTATGTTTTGGCGTATCTCATTCCTTCCTAATGCCATTTCAAATGCCATTTTACCACAACGTTTGGATGCGAATTCGGATATCTTCCGATCTGCCCATGCTACTTTTAATCCGGTAGCCTCGTCTATGACCTGTCTTTCTTGTTTAATATACTTTGATATAATAATAACAATTTTGTTAGGATTTGAGATGACTTAAAGTAAAATTCAAATCTTGTAAACCAGGCTTACCAAACACTCGGTGTTTTCTCGAATGATTAAAATATCTATAGGTTTTTGATTAGTATCCTTATCGGATATGACAGATTTAACGGGTCTGACATTCGCGTAAAGGTCTAAATGCTTCCTTAAGGCCACGATAGGCGATGAATATCCGGCAACTTTATGTGACGGGGAACTGATAAATCATAAAATGAATTTTAACTATGTAAACACGGCCGTACATGCGATAACTACCGATCTAAATCTCTTACCTGACAGCACCAAATAATGCTCCTTCACATTCATTCTTTAAAATATCCAAGGTCTTTTCTGGTAAAGCCGTCCCATGTTTTTGAAAATACTCAAAGCCTGCGTCCAAGTGTATAAAATTAAAACGTGGACTATCGTGCTCAGTTGGTAGTGCCTCAAGAACTTGTTGTGCAGCCTATTCAATTATCATATAATTTCACTTATTGAAGAAAACACGTGTAAAAGTCTTAATATATATTTACTGGGATAACTTCTCTACCGATACCATCCGCTGGTATTAACCCTATTGTTAATTTTTTCGCTTGTGTCGTTAATGAGCGTCTTATCAGGTGCGCCATTTATTATTATTATTATTATTATTTTGAAAAATTTGAAAAAAATAATAATAATACTTTGATTCAAATGATTCAAATACAATTTGGATAAAAAAAATTTTTTTTTCGAAAGATCAGATCTACAAGTACACAAAAAAAACCCTTTTTTTATGGCCAATTATGCAATATAACGTTCATGTTACACGAACACATATATAACATTGATCAATTTCAAACTTTAAATGTTCTGAATGTTCACTTTCAAGTCCCGATTTTCATATCATTTTTTTTAAAAAAATGGTCACTCCAGCACAAACAACTTCAAAACCTGATGAATATCACCCTACTCGTACTTCACGATCATCCACTTTAACAATAATCACTACGACGGAACAACTAGAACAAAAAACATGGTCAAATTTTTCTTCATCGAGAGTTCCATTACCATTTCCACAGCCTTTAAATAGAGAAATGTTTGCTACACCTGAATTTAATGCTGATAATTTTTTGGCCAATAGACGTCATTTACCATTGGATGAATTGAAGAAAGAGTTGATTGCACATTTAAAAAGTTTGAAAAGTGAATTAGTGGAGATGATCAATAGAGATTACAGTAGTTTTGTGGATTTATCAACGAATTTAAAGGGAGTCGATAAGGTTATTGAAGAGGTTGCTAGGCCTTTGGGTAAAATGAGAGAAGAAGTAGAGGTATGTGAAACCGGTTAAAGATAAAAGGTTGAAAATGATTGATTTGCCTCACTTTTTTTTATCATTTTAGAGTGTTCGAACGACACTTCAAGGCATTATTGATTCACTGGAAAATCAGTTGGCTCATCGGGCATCGATACGTGAAAAAAAAGCTTCTTTGCAACTTCTTATCAACATTCATGAATCGGTACGAAAAGTTGAAAATTTATTATTGATTAGTAGTGAGAGCAATTCTTCACTTATTTCGAAGGATGATAGGTATTTTTTTTCTTATTTAAAATATTATTAATTTATAATATAATATTAATATTCATTCTTATCGATAACAGTTTTTTTTTGTTTGATTTAATAGTGGGAATAATGCGAAACAAATTGAACGCGTAGCCATTGAATATAATCAGATGCAATATTTGGTCAACAAAGGAAAAGATTTACCCTTTGTTGATAATATTGGTTGGGTATATAAAGACATAATTGACATAATTGGAGATTTTGCTTTTCGATTTTCTAAGTATTATTATTTATGTTATATATATATATTTTTTAATATTTTTTTTTAATAGAGAATTATACGGATCAAAGATACTCTTCGCATAAATCTTTCTTCTGCTCTTCGATCTGCATTACAATTTGTGAAGGATCAGTCAAATACAACACAATCCAAAGAAATATTAACTCAAATTCTTAGGACTTATGCTTTGATTGATCAAACAAAGTCTGCAGAAGAAGTGATCAGAGATGAATTAGTTACCCCTTTCATCCAAGAGGTAATATTAATTGACTTCATTAACAAAAATTTGGCTTTTTTTATGATTATTTATAATAATTTTGTACGGTGTTATTGGCTTAGACAGTTAAACGGTCCGTTCTTGAAAATCCTCAACAAATTACATCTGCGTCTGTTTTAGTTTCATCACGTTCATCTTACTCTCCTACCAGGAAAAAAACAAAACATCGTATTATGGCATCCTATTCAAAAGAGCCTTTATTCCTTATGTATAATAGGATATTACAATTTATAAATAATGACTGTAGCATCCTCCTTGAAGTTACAAGAAAAATTTTAAAGGGAACTGGTTTTGAAATTTTGGTAAATTCTGTTTGGACAGAGGTTGTGGATGCAGTGACCAAAAGGTTATCATTAGTATTCAATCCTGGAAACCCAAATGTGTTTCACAAGGTAATTTTTTTTCTTTAAAATTATTTTAAATTTCCATAAAAATTTAATTAATTCTGTTTAAATTTCTTAATAAAGAATTATACAATATCTATGAATTTTGTTTCAAATATTGAAAGTATGTGTTATTCTAAAAAATCGTTATTATATCTAAGGAATCATTCTACATATGTAGAATTTATGAAAAGATGGCAATTGCCGGTATATTTCCAGTTAAGGTGAGTTTTGAAGTTCGTGAAATGATGAATGGTTTCTGAACATTTATGCTAAATTGTTATTTCCTTTAAACCAAGGTTTAAAGAAATTTCAAATCAAATTGAAGAAGCATTAAATACAGGATTAGATGTATTAATAGACAACATTAATGATACACAATGTAAGCAAGAAACGTAGTTAAGACTTTTTATTTTATATTATTACATTTTTCGACGAGATTCATTTGGTATAATTCTCCATAGATCCAACATCTTTAAAACTATCGGCAAGTAAATCAATTATATTTGCCATAGAAAGATGCTGGTCAGATAATGTATTTATTTATGGACTTTCGCATAGATTCTGGAAATTAACCTTACAGGTAAATACTATACTTACTTAATAAATAATATTATAGAAAAATATTCATAGTCAATTACAATGTTCACAAAATATCCGATCCCTAATGATTTAAAATTTATCTTAAAATAGTTAATAGAAAGATATAAAAAGTGGCTTATATCAATATTGATGGAATTAGTTGATCAGACTAATGATAAAATAGTGAGTGAACATTTATTTATGATTTACGCAAGATTCATTCTAGGTCGCTTATGATTCATTACTTGTTAAATATAGATTAATTCACCAGTATTAAGACCGACCAGTGGTTCAGGAAGTAGAGGGTCTGGGAGTCCAGTGCCAGGCTCATCAGGTTCATTGGCTAATGATGCATTAGATGAGCAAGTATTAAAACAATTAGTTATAGTGTCTTATGATGTTGAGAATATAATTATCAAGGTAAATGGAGTCGTCATTATGATGGATGAAGGCTAAATAAAAATATATGTATATTCAATTTTAATTTTAATTGATCATTTATTTACATAAAGGTTAAGGAGATATATCGCGAACATATTATAAGTAAATTACCAGAATCCATGACAGATCAACCCATAATTGAAGGTAAAGTTAATGAGAATTGTTAATTTATTTTTATTCCAATCAACTAAAAATTTATAATATCTCTTACAATAGAGAGTATTTCGAATTCACTCTCTTCTTTACAATCTGATTTACCAGATTTGAGTCAAAAGATTTCAGCAATCCTCACAAAGAGATGTTCAGAAGCATTACGTCATGTTCGTAGTATTATAACACAATACCGACAACCTAATACAAAGCCGCCAACAGAATCTTCTTATTTCGTTCCACATATTATGAAACCATTAGTTGTATTTTTTGATGTTAACAAATCATGTTTGAGTGATAGGAGACGAAAAACGTGGAGTGCCATGGTAGGAGATGCTGTTGCGATTCGGTTCGTAAATTATCATTTAGCTATGTAATTTATTACAAATTTTCATCACGCTAATTAAATTTTATCGATATTAGATATTATACAATATTATATGATTATCTTACAAATTTGAAAAAGACTGAAGAGAGTTCAAAAATTATGAAAATGAAAAGATTAAAAAAAGGACAAACCACAAGGGGAGGACTTGTTTCTTCATTATTTTCTGATTCGGGTGATAATGGAGTAGCAGAAGATTCTACATTTATGAGTGATGAAGATAAGATTCGATTACAGTATTTATTGGATGTAAAAAAGTTCGGGAAAGAGGTTATTATAAAAAAAAAAATTGTTTTTATTTTTTTACTAGGTATTTGTTATATCAAACAAGTAAATTATATATAATACATGTATATTTTTATAGTTGACTAACATGGGAATTGATATAGAAGAATTAAAAGGATATATCGATTTGTATAAGGTTGTTGAACCATATGGTAAGTTTGTATCTTCATGTTTCACTTTTCTATTTGATGAGTTCTAAAAATTTATAAATACTTTATTTTAACAGAATCCATTCAAAAGTAATAGCAATAATTCATATAATAATAATATTAGACATTTTATTGTTTTATTATTTTGTAATAATTTATTAAAAATATTAAATTTTGTGTTATATTTTAATATTTTATAATAATTAAAAAGATAAATAATAATAATAATAATAATAATATGAAAAGAATAAATAAAATAATAAAGTTTATGGCAATGGATTATAAATACTTTTTTGATTTTACATTAAAAGATTCTTTACATTTATTTAACTTTATATTATTTATAAAGATTTTTTTATGTTTTTCTTTTGGATTTATATTAGTTCTTAAGAAAGATTTCATTACAGATCATTAACTTGAATTTATATTATAAATTATGATTTTGTTGAGAAAAAAAAAAAAAACTCTCTTTTCAAATTTCCAAAATGATTAAAAAAAGTATTTAAAAAAAAACTTTTAATAATCATGATCTTTAATTTTACCAATTAATAATAATCCTTTATTATCATCAGTAAAAAAAGGTTAGCTAGACCAATAATAAACAACAACAACTTTCTTTATAATAGTATATATCAACTTTAAATATAAAAGAATCCTTAGAAAATATTAATGATATTTGAATTAACTTTGTTATTTCTAAATAAAGGTAAAGTATCTGAAACTTCTATTCTATTAATTAATAAAAGTATTGATAATAATCAAGCTTTTGATATTTCTGAAAACATACTATTAAAAATTACTGAAAAAAATTACACGTTTTAAAAAAAAATAAGAAAGTGTTTTTTTATTCGTCAATAAATCCTGTGATTGTTAATCACGTTAATTATCAAATATTATGTAAAATTGTGAAATTTTTTTATTCAGCTAAAATGTCACATTCTACAAAAAAAGAATTGTTAAACGAAAGGTTATAAAAGTTAATAAACGTACACAAACTTTGTATTTTATCAAACAAAAAATACAAGTCATTACCTATGCAAAAGAACATGATTACATTAAGACAGCAGAGCACTTTGACATCAATCGTAATATAATAGGACGTTGGGTAGCTGCTAGTTCAAACTGGACAATTGAAACAAAAGGAAAAAGTAAGAGGCTTGGCTTTGGATGAGGAGCCTTTTATCCTGAAGTTAAGAAGAGGCTTTATAAATGGATTATAGAACAAAGAAAGCAAGTCTCATGGTTACCTATACAATAATATGAAGTAGAATGCTAGAAATTTTAAAAGAACCAAATATGAAGGTTCTTTATGGTAAGTCAAATTTTAAAACATTTTACCGCTAGTTAACTATTTTTATGAAAAGATATAGGTTAGCATTACAGAGAAGAATTAGAATATCTCAGAAACTTCCTAATTAAACTAAAGAGCAATTAGAAAAGTTTTACTAATTTGTTACTAACCTAAGAATTGGAAAGTCATTTGAATTAAGAAATATTTATAATATAGATGAAACATCTGTTTGGTTTGATATGGCTGGTAATTTTACCATCAATCCAAAAGGTGAAAAACAGTCTATATTCACGCAATAGGCAATAAAAAAAATAAGTTTACAGTTGTGCTTACATGTGCTGCAGGTAAGCTTTTCTTTTTTTTTATAAAATCGAAATTTACTCACTAATACTATTGATTCATTATTATAGATGGAACCAAACTTCCTCTAATATGTATTTTCAAAGGAAAGAGAATATTACACGAAGAACAAATTCCTTTTGGTGTTATTATTTAGTTCCAAAAAAATGGTTGGATGGACTCTGATTTAATGATAAAGTATGTAGATTATCTAGATTATCTCAATAATATAAGAATAAAAAACAGGTCTCAAGAAAACCTAACAATACTTTATATGATTCTTTTAAAAGTCATTTGGAAAAATCAGTAAAAAGAAAGTTTTATGAAATTGGCTTTGATTTTGCAGTAATTCCAGGTAGGTTGACCCTATAAGAAATCGAAATAAGGAAATGATACGTTTTTTATAAGGTTTGTATACGTAATTAATGATTCTATATCA